GGGGGGGCGGCCCCCCCCCCCCCGGGGGTGGGGTTCCCCGCCGGAAACCTTTTTTTTGCGTTTCCCCCCCCCCCCCCGGGCTGGGCTGCATGGTTGGAATGGCTCTAAGTAAGCTAGTATCCTGCTGTTGGGCTAGGCCTGGTCCATGGCCTGAACTGATGTTGGGCTGAAGTTAAAGCTTCGCCATAGGATAGGCCCAATCTCGTAAACAACTAATAAACTATACGGGCTTAAATGCTGGATTCGCATAGGACTTAAGAACTCAGCCCATATTTATATTTTGTGGCCTGTTTAGAGCATCTCCGACCGATATGTCAAAATTGTCACATAGATATTTAACAGCTATAAATAATATCTCACATCACTCCAAACGAATTGTCAAAGCTTATATGGAATGAAGGCTGGAGGTTTAACTGTTACTTTTGACATCCCAAAAGCTAATGAATATTTTATTATTTTTAAAAAATAGCTGGTTGTTACTTTTATTTATTATTTTTCTTTTTTATTTATTTTTCTTTATCTTAAATGATTTGACTGTTACAAAAATTATTTAGTTGACATATCGGGTGAAGTGTAAAATTGTGTAAATAACAAATTGTCACATCAGCCATCAAATTTAAATTGAAAGCTACTACTTCCACCCCCTGTCCTATTTCCCAACCCACCTTATTTTTCCACCCACTATATAAATTTGAAAAGCACAATCATATCTTTCCACCCACCATTATTCATAAAATACCCTTTAATTATTAATTTAAGCAAATTCTCCTTTATGTTAAGAAATTCATTAGCTAATGACGTCATTTAAATTTAATCCAATGGCTGAAAAGTTGGCATATCAATAAAATATTTAAATTAAATTGAAAAAAATCAAATAAAAAATAAAATAAAAAAAATTTCAATCATTCTCTCATTCCAGCCCATTGATCACCAGCTACGGATCCTCCCTTCCCCACCTAGAGCCAATCCCCAACCACCTCTCCCCCACCACCCCACCACACCGAACCCAACACCAATCCACCCTTCAATTCAATCAATTTCAACCCAAGTCCCAAATTTCTCAATTAAAAACTCATTCTTACAATTTTCTTTTGGTACAAATCATTGGGATTGATTAATTCATGGGATGAGCTGGAGTTGCAGAGATAGGAATTGAGGAAGAGCCCAATCACTAGTCCATATTTAAATTGATGCACAGGGGAGGGCATTTTCTCTGTTCTGTGAGATCGAGTCCTTTGACGGCGACTTCTTTACTGCCAAGACACCGTTACTCGACGGCTTCATCGACGCCTGCTCTTCCACCATCCCTCTTCCTCCTCCACCTCCTCCATTAGTGAGCTCATTATTCGGCGCTTTAGAATTAAACATGGAAGAAATTGACGGTGTTTAGCTACCATGTTAAATTCAAAGAGACGAGCCAACAACATACTACTAACAACACCGTTATTGTCCCCAACTTAACCACCTACAAAACTCAGTAGGTGTGAGATTTTATCACAAAAGACCTTGACATTATTAGTAGTAGAACCATTCATTATATATTTTATTTTATTTAGCTAAGTTTTCGATCTGAGACTTATATTCTTCAACACACCCACTACCACATAGTAGGTCACACGTGGAGCCAAGTCCATATCAGAGTCAAATATTCATTTAAGCCCAACACGTGAACACCACGTATTGGGTAAGAGGTAAGGGTAAACATTCAAGCCCAACATATGATCACCACATATTGGGTATGTGGTGGTAAAGGTCAAGGCCCAATATTTCAGGCCCAGTCATTCAACCTGCTCTGATACCAAGTCAAACAAAATATGGCAAATATTCAGTTATGCTCGTATGTGCTCATATATTATTCTTCTCCAATGGTATTTATACAAGTACAAATATGTGTTAACCCTGAATCAAATAGGAAATATATTTAAATTACAATAAGAAATAAATCTCTATTACAATAGGACTAATTAATAATTGGTAAGTAACCAAAATTCAAACTAAATAAGGAACCAAAATCCTAACTAAGTAAGGACTCGCCAACAAATTGTAGAGAAAGAGATAGTGTAGGAGAAGGGGGTTGTGTGGATTATGGTGGTTTTTGGGGGGAAAGAGGGAGAGAAAGGGGGAATGAGTGAGGGGTCGGGGCAACTCTGAGTGGACTTGGGTGGAGCTCCTAGAGGTGTGAGAGAGAGCCTGGGCAATGGCGTAGGGGGTAGGAGTATAGGAGTGAGAAAGTTGACGTTTGATCTTTGTTCTTTAGATTTTTTTTATAGCTTTTTTTAATTTTAAATTTGAGGCAATTGTTTCGTTTTTTAATATTTTTCTTTAAGTCCTTAGAAGTTATTTTACAAAGAGATAAATTTATTTTAAAAAAATTATAAATAGTATGGGTGGGAAAATAGGACAAGGGGATGGAAATAGCAGCATTATTTAAATTTGATGTTTGGTATTTGACATCTCCCTTGAATATGCTCTTAGATTTACCAAAAAAACGCACCCACGTCATCAATGTAAATTAGGACATTAATTATGTACACTTGTAGTAAAATAAGAAATTTTTACGTAACTTTGAAGATGACATAAGGTAGATAAGGATAGTGTTTCCTTCTTTACCCATAAGGAGGCACTCATCCTTACCTACTCATGTGGATTAATCACAAAATAACATTTTTTTTTAAAATTATTCTCAAAGGCACATTTATTTTCACTTTAATTATTCTTAATAAGAGAGATACGTGTCAAATTGTGACTGTGCCACATCAATAGATAAGAAGGAATTCCTTCTTCTGGGTAAAGAGGGAAGCATTATTCGGTAGCTAATCAATAAAATGATGGAAGCAATAATGGTGGTGATAAAGAAATAAGTCCAAGATAGTACAAGATATGCATGAATGTTCAAAATGAAAACCATAGGCCTCGCTTGATTTGTATTAGTTAGTTGTCGTTTCTTTTTGGGGTTTTGTCTCCCCTATCTTACCAATAAATAAATAATCCATTGGCCCAAACATTGGGCCGCCCACAGTAACCAGCCTGAGAAACAAAACTGGGCATCCGTATGCCAAACTTGTTTGCTTTGGTTACAGACTCCTGATAACCAGGAGAGTATCTGAGCTTCTTTACTTCTACGTAACCTAATTCCCAATTACCAATCATGCCATATGCGCCAGTTCGCTCGCACGCTGTAACTTTCAAATTCAGAGCTCGTACGTGTCACGTGCCATTTTGAATTTACGTGTCACTTACCTATTGCTCCTTTTTTTTCTTTTTCTCCCCCAAAACATTTTCACTAACTTGGATGTCTTTCGCCTTTCCTCTGTGTTGTTGTCTTGTTCTTTCACTGCAAACATTTTGACCTTTTGTTACCACCAAAATTACATTGGTGCATATTCAATGGGATAATAAAAATAATGCCAGGATGCGATCATACCAACTCACATGCACCAGATTCCATCAAAACTCTGAAGTTAAGCGAGTTTAGGTGAGAGTAGTATTATGATAAGTGACCTCTTGGGAAGTCCTCGTGTTGCATCCCTTCTTTTTATCGTTTTGTTTCAAAAAACAAAAGCCTAATAATAAAGGAAAAATATTATACCAAAAAAAAATATAAATAAAGAAAAAGAATGTTTGCTCTACCATACCACAATAAAATTAGGTGGTTAAAAGGGATGTTTATCGTGCTTGATCAAGAGCATCCATAATGGGCTACCTAAACTAACTCCTTAAATAAATTATAGGGAGGAATTATAAAAATACAACTCTAACTATGTTCCCTATCCACCTTCTAAAATATGGAGACTTCTAGGAGCTCCTAAATCTAAGAAGAGAGAAATGACTTCTAGTAATTCCCAATAATTTTATGCTGCTTTATTTTGAGTATTTTAAACTTTTAATTAGTGTTAACTGTTTTTTATAAAGATGGACCAATCAAAAAAAGAGTGTATTTACAAAATTAGAAAGTATTATTGGAGTTAAAATTTTATAAAGAGCTCTTAGAATAACTTTTATATATTTTTTAGTTAAAATTTAACTAAAAAATAGTGAAATATTTCACAAATTTAGTCTTAAAAGTCTAATTATTTTCACTTATATTACTAATCAGCTAAATCCTGAAATCCAATCCCTATTTCTCCTTCCCGAGCCAGAGAGTATAGCATAAAAAATAACATATTGCCTAGAAAAGAAAACATAAAGCAGACTATTATTATTACTATTATTATTATTTGCTGAGAATAAAGCGCACCAGCCAGTTGTTATATGTAAATAAATAATAATACTAGGAATATGGCAGGTTCGTAATAAAAGTCTGCATGCAGGGTGATGGGTAAAAGAAGAAAGCACAAAATAGTCAGATGAATTTCCACTTTTCCCTGAACGCCTTTTCATCTTAACTGGAATAAAAGCAGTAGGAAAGGAAACCACTGGTTTTCCATCCCACACTCCAAAGAAACCACTGCGCATAACCCACAATTCCCACAATGCCCTCACCAACTCTGCTGTTAAATACACACCCTTCTGTATTTTCCGTACACCTACCTCGGTTTAAAGCCGCAGTCACCTAGATAGAGAGTCTACTGTAGGGTTAATTAAGGAAGAAAGAATGAGGATGAGCTGCAATGGGTGCAGGGTGCTTCGCAAAGGGTGCAGTGAGAAATGCTCAATCAGGCCCAGCATTGAGTGGATCAAATCCCCTGACTCTCAAGCCAACGCCACTCTTTTTCTTGCCAAATTCTATGGCCGCGCTGGCCTTCTCAACCTCATCAATGCCGGCGCCCAACACCTCCGCCCTGGTAACCCTATTTTTTAATTGATAAGCTTTATTTTCTTTTCTAGAAATTAAGTATTTCATTCTGCAGCATATGTGGGTTACGCCGGTTCGTTAGGGCAGTAACGCCGCCGCTTGCACCCAAGTTGGATTTCCCTTTCCAATTAAGTAATTTAGACTATCCTTGTGTCAAAAAGTATCATTTCCACCACTAAACTTATGTGTGTTTTTTGATCAGCTATTTTCAAGTCACTTTTGTACGAGGCTTGTGGACGGATTGTGAATCCGACATTTGGGTCGGTGGGTTTGATGTCGTCCGGGAGCTGGGCCCAATGCCAAGCAGCCGTTGATGCAGTGCTTGCAGGGTCCCCCATCTCCGGACTTGATGCGGATGCGCTAAACCTTATTCCCAGTCCTCCTAACACATCCGGCGACATACGCCACGTGTTCAGGGACTCGAACTCGGGGGCTTCTCGTAACAAAGTTGCAACCCGGAACAGGTTCAAGAGATCCATGAACAAGTCCAAAACCCATCCTGGCTCGCTCACTGATTTTGCAACCGGGTCACATATGGCTCAATTTTGTAACTTTCCTGACCCGGATGACTTGTGCCCGAGCCCGGAAGGAAATGGGGCTGGCGGAGATTATGATGGAGAGGTTGGGTTGGAACTGACTCTTGGATTAGTTCCAATGCGTCTTAATTAGCTATTAATAAATTATGGTTAATCTTTGTGTATGTTGGTTTTGTTGGAGTGACAAGTGGAGGGTAGAGTTGGAGAAGGACATACAAGTGTGCTTCATGCAATGGGAGAAGCACATGTTTTGGCGGCTCCGAATTGGTTTCTTGCTTCTTTTTTTCTTTTTTTTTGTTGTTGCTTTTTTGGGCTTTGGTTTTTGCTTAGAAAATGTGTCGTGTAAAATATGGGTGGAGTTTCGGTGTAAAATATTATGCATATATGCGCAAGCACAACATAATACTTACATTTCGCCTTTGGCGATCCATATATGTAAATTCTAGTACTCAACAATCATGATTGATGTATCAGATCTTCACTCAAACATCACTAGCTCTCTGATTAATTTCTGTCTTAATTATTTGGTTTCTGAGATTCTTTGTTAACTCTAATTTTTATGGTCTTTATTACAATTTCCTGAATTGGAAAATCTCAACAAATGCAGCATCTGTCCATAGGATAAAGATAAACATCCTTTCTTTGTTGGGTAAATGACAATATCATTATTGGGCATAGTACTCTACTTGCCCAATTTTATTTGTTTAAAAAGAAAAGGAAAAAAAAAACTCGAAATAACAAAATTCGATGACTGTTGTCTTGGTGGGTTTCTGACCCGTAAACCCACCAAACCAAGAAAGTACACTTTTCATGGAAAGTGTGGGAGCAAATATTTTTGTCTCCAATCACGGCACGCCACGTGCAAAAGAAGATTATCTCTTAAATTAATTAATTAAACCAATTTATCTGGTCAATTAATTAATATTGATAAATATCTTAATTAATATGATATTATCTTTATTTAATAAGATAATATCATTAATTTAGATATTATCCTAATAAAGAGGAGATAATATCATTAATTCAGTTATTATCTTCCGTAAAGAGATATAATCAAGTCCGACTCGATTCCTACAAATTTGGGTAAAGAATAAACTCATCAGAAGAGTTAATTGTACGAAACCCTGACCCCGAGGCTCCTATAAATAGACGACTTCATTCATCATCCACTCTCCATATTTTTTCCACATGGCTCCAACCACCACACACGACTCTGGCCCCAGTCCCGGTTCACACCCTGCATACAATTCCGTACCATTTGCTTAACTATTGTTTTCCTGCAAACACTCGAACTAACTTAGGCATCGAAGGGCCTTTGGCCAACACCCACCAAGTGTGGTCTATTTACTATAATCTTTTTTACAGGAAACGAGGAAGAGAAATAAGGAAGATCAAAGGTTGAAGGATCTAGAAGCGAATATTTTTCCGCGAAATTATTTGTACAAACATAAAGCCCTGAAAATAATTCTATGGGAGATTTCAACACGGGATACTTGTATCATTCCAAGTTACTTTGGCTTGTGACTCATCTATTAGGAAGATATATAAAAAGATATCAAATATTCTTTTAAGTACTTTGCTTGCTACAAAGAATTAGGTTAATTTGATGATCAATATGACTAATATAAACAAGCTAAAAGCACGGAAAAAAGAGAAATCTTCGAAACTCCTTTTCTCTCTCAACTCATGGAACCTCAACCGACTGAACTTTTCATCAGTTCCAGAGGATTTCCTCTGAAACCACCATCTTTTACCGCTAATAAACTGGGCCTTTGCCCCTCCTCCCTTGACATGTTGTGGAGAGTCCCCCCCCCCCCCGCCCCCCCCCCCCCCCCCTCACTCATTTTTTGCTTGGTTTTGTTTCTCCTTGCTTTTTGGTGAGCTTTTGTTCTCCCTAGGTTGGTCTAGGGCCTTTCAACCTGCCTTTGGGTCGGATTTGTTTCCCGTTCCTCGTCTAATTGTAGATATCTTGCTTGGCTTGCCAGGGGATCTAAATCTATTAGAGGTTATGGGTTGATTTATGGAGGAAAGGCTAGGTATCTAGTGGAATTTTTTAGAGTTTGGGTGTTGCGGATCTAGTGGAGAAGATGCTTGCTTGAGTGTCAAGAGGAACCAGGGTGGTTATGTACTTTAGGAATGCCAAGCATTTCCAATAAGATTAATGCAAAATATTAAATTTGAATTTGATTGTTTATGTGGCAATTTGACATTTTGGAAAATTTTCAATTCCACCCGAAATGCCAAATATTAAATTATTTTATTACATTTTTAAAAGTAAATGGGGTTCATATGATGCAAAAATTTAAAAGAGAGTAAATGATTGTAGGGTCCATGACTAAAAAATATTAAAATAATATTTGACATTAAGCTTTTTTATATATTATTTTTGATATATCTCTTTCAGCTTTCAAATTCATGTAGGATTTGACTACTTGGTTGAAACAATTTTAACCTTTAATTTTTGTCGTTTCATGTTCATGTGGCAATTTAACATAACTTTTTAAAATAAAAAATGAAAAATCTTTTTACAATAAATTCAAAACAAAATTGTACAGCAATAATGAGAAGAGTTAATTGTACATATCAGCCTGACTTAACTCAACCCTCGAGTTTCTGAGTTGGAGTACAAAATTTGATAATTACAACGAAACAAGCGGAGGCTACATTTAAAATAGGAATTTCACTAAAACACCCAAAATGGGGGTTGAAATTATAAAAAAACCCAAGCACTATTTAAACATATAAACACACCCAAAACTCATCATTACACACACTCAAAACCCATTTATAAACACACCCAAAAAGTTGACTTTTGGGTTGATTTTGGGTGTGTTTCTATGTTTAAATAGTGCTTGGGTTTTTTTATAAATACTTGTCTAGGATTGGATTTATTTATAAATTTGTATTTAAAACATGTAGACCACGAGCTACCCTTTAAGCTTTGGATGAGCATGTTTATTAATAGATGTGCATATATACAATTATACACACAAACTCAATTACTTCACTTACTGCGTGTAAGTAAACATTTGGGCTGACGCAAGTGCTACTCATAACTTAAGGATATCATTTGGTAAGCACAGGAAAAGCAGATCCTGCAAAGGATGCTCTCTTCACAAACCTCCCCTTCATTCTTGGCCTCTTCTCAGCATTCAGCTTCCGCACTTCGTACCTTATTTTCTTGGAGAACAGCCTTGTCCTCCTCTTTTCTCTGTACCTTGACACCCTCGCCTCTCTCCCTCCGTCCGCTATTGCCGGGTGTACCCATAGCCCGTTCAGATCTCCGTATGGGAAATGAAGTTCAGTTCCACATACACCCTGCACATAATTTATTCTATGTTGAATTGCTATAAACGATAATGAATTGGGCCTAATTAACTAGCTAAGAATACCCTCACATGGTTAATTATATCAACATAATTGGCATTTCCACAATTTTTATTTAAAGATTAAGGCAGGAAGTACATACCATGCAGTCAGGCAAGCATTCGGAGTTGAAATCGGGGCGACCACCGGAGGTCCACGGAGAGCCATCCCAGGCTGTAATCACTGCCTCGTAGTCCAGCCTCAAAAATATCTCCTTCTTCTTGCTGCTTTTACTTGCACCCGCATGCACCTCCTCATGTTGTTGATGATCTCCACTGTAAGTATTATCCATCATTCCCACTCCCAATTTGTCATCCTGTTCGCCGCACGACTGCGGCGAGTCATCATAGTCTTCAAAGTTCAACACAAACGGCTCTCTCATCATATCAATCTCCGGCGTCTCACCTAATTCACACCCCATAAAATTGACACCTCCCGTGCCCCCCTCCTCATCCTCCTCCTCCTCATCTTCAAGCTTTACTCTACAATTCGATTCATTTTCTTTAGAATCCATTAACCCCAATCCTTCCATCCCAAAACACTCGTCATCTTCGAGCCCCTTGCCCAACAAACTATCCACGTCCGCCGCGAACTCAGCAAGATCCATGTCACTGGGAAGCAGAAACCCATCATGACCGTTATGATTATAATTAGGTGATGATGAGCTCACTTTAGAAACATCACCAGTATTAGCTAATTCGTAATTAGCAACTGCTTCTTCATTAGAATTAGCAGAAGTGGTAGCAGTGCACATCTCCGCAACAAAGGGATCGAATACGGGAACCCTATAAAGAAGCTGCTGCTGATCTTCTTCGTTTTCCTCGTCATAAGAGTTGCTATCGTCTGCCCCAACTTCCGGCACCTGAGGAAACCGGTTTCGGGAGCCTTCTTGGCATTTGTGCTTCCCCTGCCTCGGCGTCCGGGCCTTCCGCCTGAAGCCACGGTGCCACGACGGTGCTGCTGGGTTGTCCGAAACAGAAACTTGATCATCCTTATCGGTGGGTTTGAGCGACGACGCCGTTTTCAAGAGAACCCTTTCGTGTCTGCGAGCTAACTGGTTGGCGGAGTGTACGGAGGAGTCACAGGCTTGGCAGAGAAAAGCATCGTCGGCAGCACAGTACCAGCGAGCTCTCTTTCTTATGCAGCTGTCGCACGCTCTTGCCGTTTTGGCACCTAGGGAGTTTGCCACTTTCTTGTTGGAGCTCATCGAGGAAAATCAAATGACAACAAAGTTTTGAAAAGTCGAAAGAGTGAAGTAAAATCAAAGAAGAGAAAGATAGAGCAAATCCAAAGAGTGCACAGCAACTGTTTGTTGAATTGTGCTCTTTATTTAGGTAAAGCGCTAGAGGAAGTGGTAAGTGTCCCACACCCTGCGCTTTTACAGGCCAATATAACAGCGAAGGCAGCCCTTGGATTTGCACTTTTGGGAGAGAGAGAGAGAGAGGATTGTACTTTTGGGTCCACACGAATGCCTTATCTATTTTCTAATTGGGCGACCTTAAAAAGTTGATCCAAATCCTTGGCTTCTGATTGGCTACTTTTCCCCATGGATGGATTTCTCGTTTCTGAGTTAACATGAGGCCCAGCCAAGGGGGTAATGGATGAGAAGTCCTGTTGATTCCATCTCTCACTTTCTAATTTGAAAGATATGCTTTTGTTGGATTGCCTCCCTCGCTGCCCCATTTTCTCCATCACTAATATTTACTTGTTTAAACTTTCGGACTCTTACCTTGACTCCATGCACTGCGGTCCCCACAAAATCACGTGCCCCCAATCATATCTTTCCACATAACGTAAAGATCATCTTCTATCGTATGACTTGACATTCTGTGCCATTTCTCTGATTTTGATTAGAAACTATTTGTCTTGCTGTACCTGATTACAACATTCACTCTAATTTTCTCTCTCTTGTTCCACATCTAATAAATCAAGATGGATAAATAGTCATGACTCAGAAGTCACTCTTGAATATTAATAGAAAGAGACCGTTTGAATTAAGAAGATGAACTAACAAAATCATATGGAAGAAAATAGAGGCCTTTTTATTATAATTGGTTTAGACTTGAACATCTCGTAGGCTTGTAGCTAGCTAGATAGAAAGAAAGAAAAACATATATGTATGGATAAAGCTGATGTGGAGATCTCATC